GTTCGCTGGGAGCGATCGTCTGTTTGGTTATGAGGGTTGATGGTTTTCTGACGATTATCGCCCTTGGAATGATGATCGGCGTCCCTCGAGGAGCTCGAAGATTTGGCGGTTGAGTGGGAGGAAGATCTATGTTGTTGCTGTTGTTGTTGTTGTTGTTGTTGTTGATGTTGCTGCTGTTGTTGTTGCTGTCTCGGCTGTTGCTGTTGCTGTTTCGGTTGTTGCTGTTGTTGTTGTTTTGGGGGTTGCGGTTGTTGTAGCTGTTGTTTAGGCGGTGGAGGTTGTTGCTGTGAAGATTGTTGGGAAGAGGATAGTGGTCGAGATTGTTGAGGCCCTGGAGGAGGAGGTGGAGGCAAAGGAGTCTCTCGGGGAGGCGATTGAGCCTGCGGCTCTGGTCGAGACCCGGAGGAAGTGGTCGAGCCCTCGGCCTGACCCCCGGCTGAACCAGAAGTGCCCCCGGCCTTCTTTTTCAGAGGCACCTTCCTCAAGGGAATGTTGAAGCTGGGAGCCTCTGCACGAGCACACCAAACAAAACAGAACCAACATTAACACTTAGCCCAACAAGAATAACATACACATAACAACATTCAAAATGAACTGATCGAGAACTACCTGGGTCATTCTCAAGCCGAATGAGGTCGAGAATCTCCTCAGTAGGAGGAGAAAAGGTTTTGTGGGTAAGTAGGCCGCAGAAGTGAAGAAGATTGTCATCACAGAGAAGTTTTTCAGACGCAACGGTTTTGGAATTCCAGGTATGGATACGTTGGTCGAAAAGGGGGTTCGAGGGAGGAGCTGAGGCCGCATCTTTCGAGACATCCCTGACCCAAGGGACGGAAGGCCAAGGTAGAGGAACGTCGGGCTGAACGAAAATGAATTTACCGCTCCACTTGGGAAGGTTAGAGGGGATGTCGTTAATGAAGTGCGCGCCGTTGCGGCTTTTCAGGTAGAGACCTCGGCCCAATTTAGAGGGGCAGTAACAATAATGGAAGAAGTCTAGGTCGAATCGACCTAGACGGACATGACAAAGGATGATAAAGGTGTTGATAAAACGGATG